AGGGTCTTCCCTTGTGAAACAGAGATGGCTCCCCTGTGTTCTGCAGCAAGCTAGACCTAGGCTTAAATCCTGAAGAGTGCTAAGATTCCACTGCATGGTGCCATCCCAAGGTCCCTGTGATGTGTCTCAACTGGGGTCTTCTCCAAGCTCCGTGAACCCCAGCACTAGCACCCTGGCCACCAGTCCAAACTTAGTCTTAGAGCTCAGTAATTGGAGGAACCCTGAAGTCCATGACTTCTCACACCTCTGCCATCTTATTCTTCATTTTTTGTCTGTATTAAATTATTTAATCATAACAACTTTTGATATAGAAAACTATTGTTTTGTATGTCTTACAGATGAGGAAACATCTGTAGCATGCAGTGTAGCGTGCCTAGAATTCAAACTCCAAGTCTATTTCCTGGACCCAAGCTCTTAACTCCTGTGCTGTAAGCTAATAACACATGAAGAATTTTGATTATTTTCTTTAGCATTTACCACCAAATAACATAATATGTATTATACTTATTTATCTTGTTATGTCTGTGTCTCCCACTAGACTATAAGCTTCACAAGGGCAAAGATATTTGTTTTATTAACTGTATCAGCAGCTAAAATAGATCCCAACCATAGAGGAGGTACCCAGTACATATATATTTACACAATTTTATTTATTTATTTGAGAGAGTCTGTGCAGTGTCATGATCTCGGCTCACTGCAACCTCTGCCTCCTGGGTTCAAGTGATTCTCCTGCCTCAGCCTCCAGAGTAGCTGGGACTGCAGGCACATGCCACCACGCCCAGATTATTTTTGTATTTTCAGTAGCAGCAGGTTTTCACCATGTTGGCCAGGCTGGTCTTGAACTCCTGACCTCAGGTGATTTACCTGTCTCCCAAAGTGCTGGGATTATAGGCGTGAGCCACCAGGCTGGGCCCCAGTATATATATTTTGAATGAATAAATGAATGAATGGACACAAAAATTTTTAGCTATTAGAATCTTTGCGCAAACAACAGGCCCACAGCAAATATCTTTTCCCAAATAAAAAGGAAGTCCTTAGCCGGGTGCGGTGGCTCACGCCTGTAATCCCAGCACTTTGGGAGGCCGAGGCGGGTGGATCACGAGGTCAAGAGATCGAGACCATCCTGGTCAACATGG